ACTTACCGATAATAAAAAGGGGGATTACTTACCGATAATAAAAAGAGGGATTACTCACCGATAATAAAAAGAGGGATTACTTACCGATAATAAAGAGGGGGATTACTCACCGATAATAAAAAGAGGGATTACTCACCGATAATAAAAAGAGGGATTACTTACCGATAATAAAAAGAGGGATTACTTACCGATAATAAAAAGGGGGATTACTCACCGATAATAAAAAGAGGGATTACTTACCGATAATAAAAAGGGGGATTACTTACCGATAATAAAAAGGGGGATTACTTACCGATAATAAAAAGGGGGATTACTTACCGATAATAAAAAGAGGGATTACTTACTGATAATAAAAAGGGGGATTACTTACCGGTAATAAAAAGGGGGATTACTCACCGTTAAAAAAGAGGATTACTCACTAATTACAAAGTGATTACTCACCGGTAAAAAAACGGGAATACTCACCAAATACAAAGTAATTATTTCCCGATTATTAAGTGATTACTCTCCGATTATAAAGTGATTAATCACAAAGTGATTATTTACCAATTACAAAGTGGTTGGTCACCGATGAGTAACCATCTGTAATGTGTCACGTTTTTTATCGCAGAAAAAGGATTACTGAGCAATTACATAGTGATAACTTGCCGAATTACACCCATATACAAACAGATCACACCAATTTACAAAACGACTACTTACCTCCATCAAATAGGTAAAATTAATTACCTTTAATGACTAGTTACCTATCTTAGATATTAAAAATTAAGTTTTATAGACTAGTTTACCTTCTTTGAACTGCAACAATTAGTATTGTCTTAAAAGACATTTCTAGAGACTAGTTATCAACCTTGAAATTTAGACACTAGTTATTTTTCCTAAATAGTATAGATTTCTACAAGCTCTGTTAAGGGAAGGTGGGATCACTTTGTTTTATGAAAGAGGAATCATTTTGTTTCGTGAAGGGTGATCACTTCAACGCAGACGTTGAGTAGGGAACGGGTTGCTCCGATGGTTTCTTCTGATTCTTATTCTGTAGTCTTGATACTGCGTTCTTCTTCTGTGATTCTTCTTGATGATCTATCGAGGACTAAGTCCCCAATGATCGCCACACCTACAGAGAAGCAGGGCGCTCTTCTGATGTGCTACTTTATGTGATCATTCGTGACTCACTCGGAAAATTATAAACTGTCTCACAGATTGTTGACATACCCTCCCCCGTATGGGACAGAATATTCATCAAGGTGTAATACAGCCTCTATCTTTTCATTATCTCAACCAGCGATTTCCTTAATTACCTTAGTTGCTGCGGTGCCAGCTTCACCACAGGGACATAGCTTTAGTTCGTATTTGTGATTTCGTACCTCACCCACCATTCTCGGACGGGCGACTGTTCAACAGATCTGTCGATTGGGGTGGTGTAAAAACACTTTACTACTAATTCTATCGTTTAATCGGAAGCGGAATGCATTAGGATCTATGAGAGTTGCCTCCCATGTTGATTTGATGCTTTTTGTGATCATTCTTCTTATTTCCGACTGTAGTCTTTCCGGTCAATCTCTTAGTCTTGCGAGTTCATCTGCAATTTCGTTCCCTTGTATGCCAATTCGATTGATTTGCCATGACTATGTACAATTGAGCACGCTTGTCTGATTTCATCCACTAGCTCCGCTTGGGAATTGTTGAGTATCGATGTCAGGCTACTTAGAGAGTCGCTTAGTACTACATAATTTGAATGATAGTGGCCAGTGGAATATTTCACCGCATAAAGGATTGCAAGCATCTCTGAGGTGTACACTGAGCAGTTATTGGGCAATCGCTTGCTAATTCTTGTGGTGCTCGAGGGGACGTAGATCCCAGACCCGTTGTACCATCATCTGGGTTATGTAAACCATCAGTATAGATACGTTTGCTTTCCGACCACCATCCACCCATTAAGGCAATCATTCAAGCTTTCGACCATTAACCAAGTTAAAATACAGTTTACAAACAATTACATCTACTGGGGCACGTGCTGTAATATAGGTAACAATACAGACAATCTTTTAAAATGTCCCGTCAGGAAAATATAAAATATATACCTGTTGGAGTTCCAGACTATTATTTTCTTATTGCTGTACTTGGCAGAGTAACAAGAGTCCAATATTCAGAGTCCATTATTAATGTCAATACTGGATATTTGCCAGTCGTTTGCCAGTTTCATTATGTTAGATAACGGTACGCCGAGATCAAAGAGTGACGTCACATCTGTATTTCAACATTTCTTACTGTTTTGGTTTTTTGCCGTGGAGAATTTCTCAGAGTTACTGTCGATTTTTGATTAAAATGTCGCTTAAATCAGATTCTGTATGTTTGTCTGATTATATAGCTAAATTGATATAAATAAAGATAAAAGTAAGCCTATTGTAATATGTCAACTTGCAGGCTGTTAATTGATATCTATATTCACAATGTCAAGCTAAAATACGACATCTTATAACTTGACTCTCGTTTTATGGATGTTTCTAGATACAGTGATTTAATTGGATTATACGCTATCAAATACAGCCAACTATAGTCCTCGTCAGAAAGAATGTAAATAATATGGCTTTGTGTTTGAATTTATCTCGTTATTAAACTGGTCCCTATTCCATCTTATCCAACACATCAGGTTACCAGTTTATTCCGTAATTTTCTCTGATAAACTTCCTTGTGAAACGAGATATCGCCATGGAGAGACTAGCAAACTTCAAGAACTGTAAATTAACTGTGGTCTGAAGTAAATTTTATTGATTATCGGTTACGTCCCTTTAGCAGTAAACTTCTGTGTATGAAAATAGTTAAAGCCTCCCAGAAGAGAAGCGGAAGTGGCGAAGACATACAAAAACAAGTAAAATTAATTATTTTGTTAGCATCTTTAAAACTCATTATACACCTTTCTCTTTAGTTAATGTTGACAACCAACCTGCGTTCAATTCATCAGTTTATATAGAAAGGGAATTCAATGTAATATTAGCATCATTTTTTGTATATACTCTTAAATAGTAGTAGTGAGAATTGTAAACTGTGTTTAGGTTGAAAATTTGATTTTTTTTACACTGACTCTCAATAACAAATTAAATTTAGAATTTTTTGAAATTTTTATTTATCTATTTGCAGGTGTTGATGTTAAGAAAGATGGCTGGTTTAGATAAACTGGGTATTCCTGGAGGTGCTGATTTAAGAGAAGCTTTAACTAACTGTTCTGATCCGTTAGCAGCTATTGAAGAATTTCAAAATGAGAATGGAATCCTTTTACCATCTTTAAAACCTGCTTTACCATTTTTAGATCTTCATGGAATCAAGCGTTTTGAATTTCATACATCAATCTTGGAACAGATGATAGATAAATTGACCAATCATATTAGGTTATTAGCTACTGAGGGTGGTGATGACAGATTTAAAAAACTTGAATCTTTACTGGAGAAAAGTTTTCCAGTCATAAAGTTAAAAACTGTGCGACCAGTTGTGATGTGTATCTTAAAATATCTACCAGAAATCAAACCAGAATATCTGAAAATTATTTTTGAAGATAAAGAACTATATTCAGAGGCTGCTACTGAAGTCAAACGACAAATATGGCAAGACAATCAATCTTTATTTGGTGATGAAGTCTCACCTCTTTTGTCTCAGTATATTCGAGAAAAAGATTCATCTCTACTGAGCCATGAAAATAATTCTTTAACATTTTACGTTCCAATGCCGAAAGCACGACGACAAGGGGAAGTTGTTCAAAAACTCGTTCACATGATCGGCAAAAATGTAAAATTATATGACATGGTCTTACAGTTTTTAAGAACTTTATTTTTACGAACTAGAAATACTCATTACTGCACATTACGAGCTGAGTTGTTGATGGCCATCCATGATTTGGAAGTCAATGAGATTTGTTCTGTTGATCCATGTCATAAATTCACTTGGTGTGTAGACGCTTGTATCAGAGAAAGACTAGTAAATGCTAACAGGGCCAGAGAACTTCAAGGTTTTTTAGATGGTCTTAAGAAAGGTCAGGAATTTGTTTTGGGGTAAGGAAAAGAAAGTCATTTTATTAATCTTTGATCATCAGTAGTAATGTTTATAATACATAGAGAAATTTGTTTTTACTGTTTAAAGATAGAAATGATATCTCTATCAAATAACTTTTAAATATTATGGCCCCACTACATGAATTCTGTCACAAATTTTATACCATGGAATGCGTTAAATCCAAGGAATACCATGGAATGCGTTAAATCCAAGGAATACCATGGAATGCGTTAAATCCAAATGATTATTGATGTGTTATTGTTTGAAATAACAATTTCTCTTACAGTGATTTGTCTATGATATTATGTGATCCGTTTGCCCTGAATACAATTTCTCTATCAACTATGAAAGTTTTACAACATTGTGTCAACACGGACACTCTACCCAGGGTGAGTTTTATTATTGTTTTCATTATTCATTCATTATTTATTCAATACTTATTCATTACTTATTCAATACTTATTCATTACTTATTCATTATTCATTCATCATTAATACAGGCTTTTACAATAAAATCATTTTCCTGATTGTTCACAAATAAAAAGGAAATATATAAGACCAAATATAAATAGTGTGTAACCACACTCAAATAATATACTCTACACTCAAATAATATACTCTACACTCAAATCATATACTCTATACTCAAATCATATACTCTACACTCAAATAATATACTCTATACTCAAATCATATACTCTATACTCAAATCATATACTCTATACTCAAATGATATACTCTACACTCAAATCATATCATTATCAGATTAAACTGATTAAAATTCATTTCAGGAGAACATAGATCTTCAATTGTTAATTCGAATGATGGCACTGGGCCTTGGTGCCTGGAACATGATTGATAGCCAATGTTTTAAAGAACCCAAATTGGTAAGAATAATTCATTTATTATACACAGGATATTATACGATACTGAAAGTTTTATTCTGTGATGGCTCTATAGAGTAAGTAAGTTAATGAAAGTTTTATTCTGTGATGTCTCTATAGAGTAAGTAAGTTAATGAAAGTTTTATTCTGTGGTGGCTCTATAGAGTAAGTAAGTTAATGAAAGTTTTATTCTGTGATGTCTCTATAGAGTAAGTAAGTTAATGAAAGTTTTATTCTGTGATGTCTCTATAGAGTAAGTAAGTTAATGAAAGTTTTATTCTGTGATGGCTCTATAGAGTAAGTAAGTTAATGAAAGTTTTATTCTGTGGTGGCTCTATAGAGTAAGTAAGTTAATGAAAGTTGTATTCTGTGGTGTCTCTATAGAGTAAGTAAGTTAATGAAAGTTTTATTCTGTGATGGCTCTATAGAGTAAGTAAGTTAATGAAAGTTTTATTCTGTGATGTCTCTATAGAGTAAGTAAGTTAGTGAAAGTTTTATTCTGTGATGTCTCTATAGAGTAAGTAAGTTAATGAAAGTTTTATTCTGTGATGAATCTATAGAGTAAGTAAGTTAATGAAAGTTTTATTCTGTGATGAATCTATAGAGTAAGTAAGTTAATGAAAGTTTTATTCTGTGATGTCTCTATAGAGTAAGTAAGTTAATGAAAGTTTTATTCTGTGATGGCTCTATAGAGTAAGTAAGTTAATGAAAGTTTTATTCTGTACTGGCTCTACCCTATTATGGGGAGAACGTTCTTACCTGGAGAATCAGTGTAGGTCAATATTGTAGTATCCCTCATTGCATACTGCAAGGCTAAGACTATCTTCATTAGGCTAATAAAAATTAAAAACTAATTGAAATTCTGAAAATATTTAGATATATTCAGATAGTTATGCTTCAATCAAAATGGAAATGAATTCCAAGCCATGTAGTTGATATTTACGCCTGTTTTCATGATTTAAACAAATTTGTATTTTTCAGGATGCATCTTTATTTACCAAGTTTATACCAATGATAGTTGGTATGATAGTTGATGATCAGATTAGAGTCACAGCCTCGAGGTTATCTGAGGATTTTAACCCTGCTAACCTACCAGTTAGATTACCATCAGAGCTATATGCTGAGTATATTATTGATAGCTCTATAGCCAGTTTATTGGCTATGTACTATTCTTTACAAGCCCTCAGATTAAAGGATCGAATCGCTGCCTGTCAAATCATACCAACTTTGATGCATTGTGAAAACGACCGAGCTTATGAAGACACGTTTCTTCATCCGTTTATCTCCTACTTGATTCAAATGCCTGAAGAATTTGCTTATGAAGATTTCACCTCTGTTGTTTTAGATGATTTTCTATTGGTAGGTAGTAATAGTATTGCTCTTTCATTTCTCCTTAATTAAAAATTCACAGCACTTAGGTGGAAAGAAAGTATCTAAAAGTACAACCTTGTTGAAATATTAATGAATACTGTTTTTGATCCCACTATTGATTTTATGTTATAAATTAACTTGACAATAAATGTCATATATTATTGGTAGAGAGAACTTGTTTTATGAATTTACTACAGACTTGAAATTAGATGGTTTAGATTTTTCTAGCTAGAGATTCTTCCCCTTCAACTCTTTGTATTCACACTACCTGTGTATTATATAATTGTTATTGTATCTAATTACCACTAGTGAAGATAATATAATTATATGTTTGCAGCCAGCAGTATCACGAGAGAGTGTATTAAGACATTTATTACGAGTGTTATGGTATGTTCATCATAAGATATCACCAGTTCGATTAGATAGAGTCATGACCACCATTAAACCATCAAATGAGGTATATAATATTTTATTTCTTGGTTTTTTAACGCTGACTCTCTACAAAACAAAATAACACTTGACACCTGAATTCTCTTCACTATATGACCACAGTTAGCAGTTGTATAGATTTGAGTGAAAGGTCTTTAAACTAGTGTTAGTTTGGGTGTGATGAGCTCTGATACCTTTGTTTGTCCTTTATGAATTTATTTATTTATTTTTGATTATTGATATCAACTGAAATTGGGTATTTATTTATTTCTTATCATTATCATTATAAATTTATAATTGTTTTTATAAATATTATTATTATTATTATTTTCATTATTTCAGCAAAGTGAGGCATCTCTGAGTGTTTATCAGCAGTTATCAATGAAGATATCATCCTACACCCCCAGTCCTACTGCCCCCCAACAGGAGCTGGATTCACCCCTCATGAATGTACCTGCCCCTACACCAGCCCCTCCATAATTCCATAAAAATTATTAAAATATAAATGATGTATACTTTGATGTATTGTTTTATTTCTTCAAGTTTGTCCTTAAATAGAGCTGTTATTCCTGCCACTCATACACCTAAAATTGCGATAGATTTTCTTATCATACGAAATAGTTGTAGATTTAAATAGTATTATATCACTCAAATTGAATATTTAATACTGGAATTCAATTATTAAACTAATATCAATTATTCATATTTACTACAGACATCATATGTAATATATTTATAATATTTACTACACACATCATATTTAATATATTTATAATATTTACTACAGACATCATATTTAATATATTTATAATATTTACTACAGACATCATATTTAATATATTTACTAAAGACATCATATTTAATATATTTATAATATTTACTACAGACATCATATTTAATATATTTATAATATTTACTACAGACATCATATTTAATATATTTACTAAAGACATCATATTTAATATATTTATAATATTTACTACAGACATCATATTCAATTAATTTTCTATCTGAATAAAGAATTCCATGTCAATTTTATAAGCGATAAATGAGAAATGAGAAAAACGTTTCAATTCCAGGGGAGGTAATTTGAAATATTTAATTATTAGAATATACAATATATCAGAACTTTAACAGTTGTCATCTTAATATCATTATGACAGCAAACTTTACAACATGTCTCTGTTGCTAAAACGCTTCAAGCAATAACTGCAGTTTTTTAGAAATATAATATCATAGTTTATACACTTGACAAATCAATCTCTTACATTAACAATTAAATTGTATCAAAGCAAATAACCAGATTTTCTCTACAGTCTCTTGAGTTTTCAGAAAGTTAATAAGATTTTAGATAACGTTTTAAAGTTATCATTATTTAATATGAAATAAATAAATTAAATCACCCCCTGCATGTTTTTATCTTAGTAGCGGTGGAATTTTCCATTATTGGGTCCTATGTTATACAGTTATCTAAAAACAAATAATAAATTCAGAGATAACAAAGGTCTTTTGGTGTTGTTACATTTTGAATTTAGTAAAGGAAGGGGATTGCACCTGTTAACAGTAAGGATATAGGAGTATCAGCATGATGAGAACTCTAATTTTATTCTGCTGCATTGCAGTTGTGTACTCGGTAAGTTTATAAAACCACGTAGAAATTAATTTGACGACAGTTCACATTTGTTTCCAATTAATTTTCTTATTCAAATACTCTTTTTGATCACTTTATATCACTAACGATTAACGATCATTCGCAAATACCAAATATTCTTATACTGACAGTGAATCGTTTTACATCTGAACTACAAGTTACATTAATCTAACTTTCATCATAACTTTCCTGTTTACCTCTCTTTTTTTCTTTTTCAGGAGATGGTAGCTAAAGGTAAGAAGCTGTACCCATCAAAAATAAAATCGTATTGACGTATTATTCATTTAAAAATTGTTGTCGAGTTCGGGGTGCTAGGAAATACCAAGAAATATGTCATTTTGGGCGCAAAACCGGCAGGTGTTATTGTTAAACATCATCAGACTCTGGGGGAAAAGTAGGCTCCGCCATGCGGCACTGCACAATCAACTTCCAGTCCCACCTCTTATTTCAGGCTATCCAGAACCGATATCCTATATTTGTGACTTCTCTGAGAATTTATGCAATTTCCATGGAAACAGCACTCTTATGGAATGGAAAATAGTCAATTCTACTACCGGAGATTTAAGTAAGTACCACTTCCAGGCAGACAAAATCTACGTACCCTTGTGTTATACACGAGAAATACTACTTTTGGAGCAGGCCTTTGGTAGAAAATATCTTTGTTTAAACTTAATTACATTGAGGCTATTGTTCGTGTTCCCATAGCAAGAGACCAGAAATAAAACCTCATTAATTGATACATGAATCTATCCTTTATAGATCGATTTCTACAAACTAATGCAACAGATACACTAGATCAAAATAAATACGTTTTATCAAGATGTTACACAGTCACCAGTCCCAAACTCTGCCTCAGTTTTAGATACAAACTGACAGGAAGTGACGTCACTAAGTTATTTGTGAAGCAGAAAGGAGGTGATAAATACCAGACGTGGGAGAGTAAGAAAGAAATGGTGAACCAAGGTTGGACTGAGATTAATATAAACGTCTCGTTACTTCCTCTCCAAAAGGAAGTTCAAGTAAGAATATCATAGATTCTTCATCAATAGTTTTATAATCCGGTTTTGTCAGTGTTCCAGGTCGAGACAAAACGTCGTTCTGTTTGAGTGTGGGTCAACGTTGTTTATAGTCGCTTTTAATGGAGAACCACCAATTGAATGTTTAAAAACTCTCTGTCGACTGGCAAAGCACATATTTAGATTACAGAAATATACATGTATTTAGATACACTCAATATGATAATATGTTTTTATCTAAATACGAAATGATTATTTTCTGTCTATTTCTCCTCAATTTTCTTACAAGATTTTTTTAACTTTGACAACGTCATAAGTATTTTATACCCCCGGAACTCTGATCAAATCTGTGAACGAATTAGCAGTTTTCCTTGCTACTAACACAATTTGAAACTGAACAAACACAGCCAGTTGTTTTGTTTTTTTAATTTTGATAATAATTTACGTGCAATTTTAAAACATAATAAAAATTATATTAAAATAAGCTGGTAATTCACCATATTTATACAAATTAACGTTACCAATTCTTCTGAGTGAGAAAATTCAAACAAGAATAAAGATATTTCTCTTTTCTTAACCTTTTCAAAACGTTATATTAATTCAAATATTTCAAAAATATTCATCACAATAGACGACGTATTCGGTGGTAAAAAGGTTTACCATAAGTACAAAGGTCGTTTTATTTTAAGTCAAATACGTAAGAAGACTCAGTTTCGAGACAAAGTCACGTTCATGTATTGAAATAATAAAATAAGTCTAATAACCACGTGGTAAATTCTTGTAATCTTGTGTGAAGGTTGATTCTTATAGAATATTTGCCTGTATTTGCCTGTATATACCAGTCATAATGAATACTGAATACTGAATAAAAAGATGAATAACGAGTGTCATAATGAATACTGAATACTGAATAAAAAGATGAATAACGAGTGTCATAATGAATACTGAATACTGAATAAAAAGATGAATAACGAGTGTCATAATGAATACTGAATACTGAATAAAAAGATGAATAACGAGTGTCATAATGCGATATTTAAAGTTGGGTAAATTGATATACAGTAACACGACTAGATATTGATTTATAGAATGATAATACGTGTCAGAAATAGATAACTAACCGATGGTATTTCAAGGAGTGTCGACTATTTTAATAATGTCTATATCATATTAATAACTATCGTCACAAAAAATACACATTTTCGGTCGGTCGAGTTCATACAACAAAGAATGAAATAACACACCCCAACATGCACGAAGTGTAATCAAATTATCAAAGACATTCCGACGTTTAACACTGGATACTAATAAAATATCTTGTTTTATCTTACAGTTTCTGTTCAAAGCCATCCTTGGTGGAGTTTCTGGAAATACTGTTGGTATTGATGACGTCATACTGGCTCCATATGAATGCTAAGATATAATGATGCCTTTCTGGATTTGTCTTTATATATTTAGTTGTTAAAGAAATACATGTAATTGAAATATGTTTTATGCTTGTAATTGTGTAATTGTGTAAATGATAAGGACTGGAAACCGCACCCAGCTTGGTATTGTAGCATATGAAAATACACATTTATTTTTGACAACTGGAAGCAAGCCTTACAGTTTTCCCCTTCGCATCGAGTTGTAATAACGTAATTTCCGGTAAGCATAGCCATGTTCTACCTTCCGAACACCCGATTCCACCCTGCGACTGAGCTGGTAAACTCAGCAGATTATAGAATATCTAATATTGTACGATTGCTAATCTTTCCTATTTCATAAACAGTTCCAATATGAGTCTCCTCGTGATGGCCATTTTTAGATTAGTTTGTAGATTGTTGAGTGGTATGAAAAATGATAGATATACTAAATAATTCAGAATAATAATTATTTCTATATATTGAGAAGAGTTTATTGACTTCTTTATGAACTTGAAATATTGTGGTTCCTTTTTTTATTTCTGTTGAAAAATGATACCACAATATTTTTATACTTCGATCCTTTGCTGTTGGCATGTGTTTGGTGTCGACATTGTCAGATAATCTAAATTCCTTTACTTAATTCAGTTTAATAACAATTAGCAAAAAAATAAGATCATTGATTTAATTTAAATATTAATTGAAAAATTCAATGAATTATCTCCCCTTGAATATAGAAAATATTTAGTTTGTTGAGTGTCAATGAGCCGTAAAGATTTTCTTTATCTTATTTCATGTGAGTAAAAGTTAAGTGTAACGAATAAGAGATCCTATATCTTGCTTGCCTTTCGTTGTAAACTTTATTATGCTGAAAGTCGAATAACCACCTTAACAAGTTATTTTCTATTAATTTCTGGTTTACTTCCTTGTATACGACTATTAATTTGTACTATGTAGAAATAACGTTTATTCGTGGCCATTCTTCCACATTTTAAAACCCAATTTAGGACAATTCAAACCTCTTGATAATGATTTTACAATGATAATAACTAAGGTTCATGAGGATCATTTCTACCAACTGGTATTTAGTCAAAGCTTTTGGCATTTATTTTTCCCACATAATATTTATAGCTGGGTTGATTGGAATTGCATAATATGTTCCATTTGCTTAATTTTAAAATCGAATATCAAGTGGGCTATTGCCGTTGGTTTATTTCATTGTGGACAACTCGTCAACGTGTCAAAGTCCAAATACAATGGAAATCTCCATATCCATTTACCAGAATTCTACAGGTTTGTGAACATCAGTGAATATCTGGCAATTTATATTGATCTAACTGATTCTCTATTCAGGGGTTTGGAAAAACATATGTAATGAAATAGTAATATACAAGATATATATTACCCTTGAATAGTTACTATGACAACCGACTGCACGAGACATGACCCGCGTTTTGTTTATCGTTTCAAGCTAGCTTGTTTTGGCAATCTGCCACATTTACTCGACAAGATATCGTATTGAGACCTCGTTTTCCTTTAACAAAAACAACAACTCTGTGACCTCAATTTATTTCCAAAATGGTGTCGTTGTTGATCAAATATAATCTACTGCAGGCGTTGAATGGACAGCGTGACATATTGAGTTAATAGGTTTTAATGATGTTTACAATTTACATCAAAATCTTTAAATATAACGGCATTAAACCAATAAGTGAACAGAAATAGAGCACAAACCTTGGTTAGTTTAATGTCTGTTGAATATAAATAGGCCCAATACGATTCCGAAACTAAGAACGTAAAACTCCACTACCATTGGAATGTAAATGTCCGTCTCCATGAGTATTTGAGGTCAAATGTGTAAAATGAAAAATTGCAATTCATTTTACCTTAGGTTCAGGCTACTGCACGTTTGAAGATCCGGGATCTCACGTAACAGACAGTGATGTACTGAACAGTCTAATTCACCGAATTCCAATATTATCTTGATTGATATCGGGAAGTTGGTGTGGTATATTTTCATCAGGATGAAGCGATGAACTCGATATTTTACATTTTAATGTTAATGTAGGACCTTTTCATTGACTTTTTCTCCTTTATTGAAACCCACAAATTTAAACAATTTGATATAAATATAGTAAGTTTATACACGATGTGAACAATTTTAATTTCAGACAAAATTTGTCTTAATAGTAAACATTTTCTGAGCTAAAGAGATATAATAAAACTGTTTAATATTCTGTTAGTTGGGTTAGTGTTATGACCCGATTCGTTCAGTAGAAAAAAAAACAAATGGCTTCAAAATGTTTTGGCATATTTGAAAATTAGTTATGATATCTGAATAGTTGTTTTCCAGTTTTCTATATAACTGAAATCTATCAGGTCAGTGGTTCAACTAGATGAGTGGATTTCAGTTCGGTGGAACCCTCTCCCTGGGTAATGTTTCTTTCCTGATTTTTTTCTGGGTGCGTGGGCTCCCTCAGGGGTGGTGGCCCGTGCACTTGGTTCAACAAGCCCCTGTAGTAGCCACAGAATCAGGTAATCAGTAAAATCTAGCCCTATGTTTATCAGGTTTAACCTGTATTTTTGATGTTTTATAAAAGTTAACGTTCAGTTGTCCATCGTTTCGAGGGTAGTTATTTTTTCAGGTCAGATATTAAACACAAGCTTATTATAAATGTTATCAAATAATTCAGAACAGAATATGGTAAGAAAGTCCGATCTCTCATTTAAAAATTATAACAAACAATGATGTTCAAAGGTCACCTCCGATTATCAGAAAATATGGTGCAATCAATAGATTCTGTATATATATAAAACTATCTGAATTTATATATATTGTATATTATCATTTAGTTTGGTCTTACACTACAAAGTCTATCAGAGAAATAGTTGTATAAAATAGTATGTAGGGTAGGTTATTAAAAACTATCAGAAAATATGGTGCAATCAATAGATTCTGTTTATATATAAAACTATCTGAATTTATATATATTGTATATTGTCATTTAGTTTGGCCTTACACTCCAAAGTCTATCAGAGAAATAGTTGTATAAAATAGTATGTAGGGTAGGTTATTAAAAACTATCAGAAAATATGGTGCAGTCAATAGATTCTGTATACATATAAAACTATCTGAATTTATATATATTGTATATTGTCATTTAGTTTGGCCTTACACTCCAAAGTCTATCAGAGAAATAGTTATATAAAATAGTATGTAGGATAGGTTATTAAAAACTATCAGAAAATATGGTGCAATCAATAGATTCTGTATATATATAAAACTATCTGAATTTATATATATTGTATATTATCATTTAGTTTGGCCTTACACTCCAAAGTCTATCAGAGAAATAGTTATATAAAATAGTATGTAGGGTAGGTTATTAAAAACTATCAGAAAATATGGTGCAATCAATAGATTCTGTATATATATAAAACTATCTGAATTTATATATATTGTATATTATCATTTAGTTTGGTCTTACACTCCAAAGTCTATCAGAGAAATAGTTGTATAAAATAGTATGTAGGGTAGGTTATTAAAAACTATCAGAAAATATGGTGCAGTCAATAGATTCTGTATATATATAAAACTATCTGAATTTATATATATTGTATATTGTCATTTAGTTTGGTCTTACACTCCAAAGTCTATCAGAGAAATAGTTGTATAAAATAGTATGTAGGGTAGGTTATTAAAAACTATCAGAAAATATGGTGCAGTCAATAGATTATGTATATATATAAAACTATCTGAATTTATATATATTGTATATTGTCATTTAGTTTGGTCTTACACTCCAAAGTCTATCAGAGAAATAGTTGTATAAAATAGTATGTAGGGTAGGTTATTAAAAACTATCAGAAAATATGGTGCAGTCAATAGATTATGTATATATATAAAACTATCTGAATTTATATATATTGTATATTGTCATTTAGTTTGGTCTTACACTCCAAAGTCTATCAGAGAAATAGTTCTATAAAATAGTATGTAGGGTATGGTTATTAAAAACTATCAGAAAATATGGTGCAGTCAATAGATTCTGTATACATATAAAACTATCTGAATTTATATATATTGTATATTATCATTTAGTTTGGTCTTACACTCCAAAGTCTATCAGAGAAATAGTTATATAAAATAGTATGTAGGGTAGGTTATTAAAAACTATCAGAAAATATGGTGCAGTCAATAGATTCTGAATACATATAAAACCATCCACAGTTTACATCTATATATATTTTAGATATTCTGTCTTTAAGTTTAGCCTCGCATTACAATTTCAGAGCATCAGAGCAATATATCGTGGTATTAAATACATCTCATAATTGATTTACTGATTTCAGGTGGACAAAAAATAATAAAAAATGAAATAATTAACCTATATATATATGTAAGAGAATTTTTATATTTATTATACTGACTATAATATAATTGGTAAGAGAATTTATAATATTTATAATACTGACTATAATATAGGTTGTAAGAGAATCTATAATATTTATCATACTGACTATAATATAGGTTGTAAGAGAATTTATAATATTTATTATACTGACTATAATATGGGTTGTTAGAGAATCTATAATATTTATTATACTGACTATAATATAGGTTGTAAGAGAATTTATAATATTTATTATATTGACTATAATACAGGTTGTAAAAGAATTTATAATATTTATTATACTGACTATAATACAGGTTGTAAGAGAATTTATAATATTTATAATACTGACTATAATATAGGTTGTAAGAGAATCTATAATATTTATTATACTGACTATAATACAGGTTGTAAGAGAATTTATAATATTTATTATACTGACTATAATATAGGTTGTAAGAGAATTTATAATATTTATTATACTGACTATAATATAGGTTGTAAGAGAATTTATAATATTTATTATACTGACTATAATATAGGTTGTAAGAGAATTTATAATATTTATTATACTGACTATAATATAGGTTGTAAGAGAATCTATAATATTTATTATACTGACTATAATATAGGTTGTAATAGAATTTATAATATTTATTATACTGACTATAATATAGGTTGTAAGAGAATCTATAATATTTATTATACTGACTATAATACAGGTTGTAAGAGAATTTATAATATTTATAATACTGACTATAATATAGGTTGTAAGAGAATTTATAATATTTATTATACTGACTATAATAGAGGTTGTAAGAGAATTTATAATATTTATTATACTGACTATAATACAGGTTGTAAGAGAATTTATAATATTTATAATACTGACTATAATATAGGTTGTAAGAGAATTTATAATATTTATTATACTGACTATAATATAGGTTGTAAGAGAATTTATAATATTTATTATACTGACTATAATACAGGTTGTAAGAGAATTTATAATATTTATTATACTGACTATAATATAGGTTGTAAGAGAATTTATAATATTTATTATACTGACTATAATACAGGTTGTAA